GGATGTGGCAGCATCTCGATGTTGTTTTCTTCAAGAAAATTATAAACAATTCTTGCAGTATGTGGGCGAGCATTGTCCTGCATTAAGATAAAATTACGTCCCATTTGATGACGCATCGGAATTACGTGAAGACGTAAAATTTCCTGTATATAGGTATTGCTGTCATCCCAGGAGATGATATAATGACGAGATCTGTGCGTCTATGCGTCGATATTCCACCCCATACCATGATGGAACCATCACGAAATGCTCGGACAGGTTCAACATAATTTTGTTCGAAACGATGTCCACGACGACGCTAAACACGGACTCTTCCGTCAGAGCCAAAGAGGCAAAATCGCGACTCGTCAGTGAACAACACGTTGCTCCATTGTCTCGCAGTCCAATTTTCATAAGTGCGTGCATATTGCAAACGAGCACGCCGGTGAGCCACAGATAACATTGGCACTTGAATACGAGCCCGCGACGTAAAGCCTGCTTCGTGTAAACGTTTCCTAATTGTTTCATCGCTGATTTGTCTGTACGGCAAAACTTTGCTTGAAATTTGTCGCGCAATCGTTGTCGGATTTTGCATTGCCGCATTGACGATACAGCGATCTTCTCGAGCTGACGTTATTCGTCTTCGACCTCGTCCTCTCCTTTCACGAAATGTGCCTATCTCTAATTGATAACAAGCCCAAATTCGACAGATGGAAGATTGATTCACACCCAGTCTCCTTGCAACATGATTCTGGCTCAATCCTTCTTCTAAAAGTGCAATGATTTGCGCACACTGCATTTCATTTAAACGAGGCATTGTTGCATAATATTCGCCGTTATTTCTTACCGCCTTGCTACGCGGTTAATAAACGGCATCATTATTATTTTCTAAATTGAAGCACGAATTCTTTCGCCCGGCCCGCACCATCCTACCGTCCGTCGCCTAGTTCGCCTTTAGTTCCGCCCTGCCCCTCTACCGTTAGGTAGAGCCGGCCGGCCCTCGCGCGATCGACCTGGGGGAGCAGCGTCCGCTTGTGAATGTCGGATATCGTTGTGAGCAATTGCATTTCGTTGTCGTGCTATTGCAGTAACTTCGCGTTTCGCGAGTGACGTGCCGTCGAGCGCGTCTGGCGCCCAATTTTCGCGCCGCTGCTCTTTGTCGGTCGCCGAAGGGACGAAATCCGGAGGGCTGACACCTTCCCTTTTGGAATCGGTTACGATTTCCACCCTATCGTTTTGATCCGTGCTCGCGCGAACTACTTATCTCACGGGAGCACGTGACAATATAT